AGGACCGGGACGGGGGAGCCCCGGCGGGGCCGTCCTCCCACCCGCGGACACTCATTCCCTTATAATTCCCTGCCCCGTGGTGATTTTCATTCCCCATTGCTAGCTCCACCCTTTAAGCATCTTCCCCTGTTGAAATTTGGGGGTGGGATATTCTCTCAGGCTCACGGCGTCATCTCTACGCGTTTGCTTGCGTCTGCGGTGTAAAATCCACATAGAAACACAGAATCGTTTAGGTTGGAAAAGACCTTTAAGATCATCAAGTCCAACCGTCAACCTGACGCTTCCAAGCCCACCACTAAACCACGTCCCCAAGTCTTACATGGAATGAAAAAAATCTTAAAAAAACAGGGAGCGTACGTCCTGTTGTGCACCCAACATAAGCAGGAACCAAGCAAATTAAACAGAGAGCCTGAATGTCTATTCAAGAGCTCTGCTCTGAGTAGAACACAGAAGCCACTTTTCCTCCTCAAGAAGCAACTACTTAAATGAAAAACATGAGCAACAGGTTGGTGCCTAGGGTGGCCTCCTCAATTTTAGAGGCACTCCATTTTCTTTTGACTTGGAGCTCCTTAAAATTAATAGGCTAACTAGGAAAAGTTCACAGCAGGAAGGAGTCTGTGCTCCATTTTCTGCAGATTCAAGGAGAGTCCTACCCACCTCACAGCTCACACGGCAACTGCCAGCCCTGCCCATCTGTGCCAGGGCATTTCAGGAGGAGTTCACTATTCAGGCTGACAGTGAGACCGTATTGTATTTGCTGTGACTTCGCAGGTCTGTAGGAACCCATCGATCCCCACGCTGGAAGACAGCAAAATCCTGTCAAGGTGGCATAAAGCAGTAGAAACCCTGCCAGAAATTCAAATGAACCTCTAGGTTCACCTTGCACCAAGCCTCTGGGTTACGCTCCCTTTACCTAGTCATCTGTAAGGATCAGCGTTTGATTCCAAAGGTGGGAAGGCAGCATCTAGGACAGGCTGTGTGCCGTGTTTATCAGCTGCACCTAGGCCATGCTTTGAATGTGAGATTATTTGTGACAGGCAACAGCAGTGCCCGTTGGAGCAGGGCCTGGCGGGAGGTGTGTCCCCCCCAGACTGCACAGACCTTCACATATGAAGCTGTCAAACCCCCTCAGATTCCATCGGAGTCACTGGGACTGGAAGGTGCTCCATGCCATGCTAGGGTGAACCTTGGCTGTACCAAGAACCCTCTTCCCAGTGCTGATGCTTCTCTGGCAGCCTCAGGAGTCAGTTTAGGCTTAACTAAGTAGCAGAGTGATGTCAGCAAAGGATTTCCAGATACCGCTTTTTGGAGGAAAGTCTCCATTCCCTGAACCCAAGACCCACACCCTGTCTTTTGTCCAGCTCTGCCTGCAGCTGGGGCACGATGCTTTGCTCTCCTGTGCCCTCGGTCTGTTCTTGCCAAGCTGCGTTCCTCTAGTGAGGATAACAGGACCAGGTTATCACCAGGGACAAGGGGATGGGGTGAGATCCAAAGGACTGAACTGAGAGGAGCTAAAGAGGCAAGGCAAAGACTTGTCTCTGCGTAGCAGCCTTGGGAACTTCTACCTGGTTTAGCCATGCAAAAGCATCTCTATTTGTTCAGTTGTTAAACCTTCTCCTCCTATCTCATTAACTAGGAATGGTGATCCCTATAAGCAGGGCTGAAGTCTAAATCCTCCTCTATTTTAATCCTTAATAACACAGCACGGTTTCTTTCAGATCTGGATTAAAAAAAGGAGGGGGATTACTTAGCATAACAACAACTTCAAGCAAATTAATTCTGAGCTGGATCTCTAAATTATGCAACAATTATCTTGGACAGCAAAGGTAAAAGAATGGAGGTATGATCAGCTTCAGACAGAGGGAAAAAAAAAAAAAAAAAAGACAGAGCAGAAGTCATCCAACAACATTTAAAATAAAGAAAATTATTTTTAAAGAAGTTACCCACAGGGCAGGGAGACAAGCTAGACCTCTCTGACAAGATTTGCTAGAGCCTTTCAAAAACTCTGACTGACTACCATCCTTGGTTTGAGCTGCCTGCTCTCGGGTTTAAGGTACAAGGGAATATTTTGGCAAGGGCACACTAAACCCAAGGAACATTAAAGATTCGAAGGGGAAGTCACAAAGTTTAGGTTTCTTTCATGGATTTCTAAAAGTCTCCTCCCAGGTTTTGCTTTTATCCAAATTCAAGTAAAAACTGATTTTCCATACATAACTCGGAGATATTCGGTGCAAGCAAGTGTAACGGATTTAAATCCTCACAATCCAGCTGCGTTCTTATTTCACCTAAACAAGCAGAGTTTCACAACCGTGCAGAAACCAGGGGATTCCACATCTCCATGAAGTCCTGTAAGAACAGAAATGAAGGAGCGCTGCCTTACCTTTCAGGTTTATCTACGTATAAGGTTAAGTGCCGATAACACTTGAGAGCCTGATGCCGTGCACACAACTAAATTAACCCCCCACAGAAGCCAACGCACACATGCCACTTCTGCATGGAGAAGAAAGAAATCCAGCAACTCCCGCTGAAGGCTCACGGGTAACGTCAGAACTGCAGAAGCGTGCTGGGAATTTGGCTGTTTAATTTCCCCAGATTTCTTAAACAATCTCAAGTGCAAACCTTTAACTCGTAGGCTCCTCCTTACCAGAGCAGACCAAGAACAAGATGGAGCCAACGCTCTGAATATCGTGCACAAGCCTTCGCTCTGCCCAGGTGGGCTTCACTTCTAGAAGTACTGACATTTATCCAGACAGCACTTTGTTAGAAACACCCCGTAACTACCACACTTCTGCTAAGCAGGGTTAAATGGACAACAGCAATGGATAAAAGAGTTTGGCAAGGTACTTGGCACCTATGAATAATTCACCCAGCCAGCCTTCTCCCAAGGACACTAGGTCACCCAATCAGGCCTGAAACAGAGCATCGGAAGTAAAAAGTGTTTCAGTGGAAAGTTAAACTACTTTAAAAGCCATTTATTTCCCACCAGCCTGAACCAAGCACCAACAAAGGGCCCTTTGCCTCCCGTCCATGTCCATTCTCCCTTTCCTCCTGATCGCAGGCAACGCCAACAGCTGCCTGGGTCTGCCTTCACAGCTTTTCATTTCTATGCCCGCGCAGTCCACGACACATGATATAGACACGTTGCCCTTCACACCTGGTCTCAACGCCTTCCCCGCTCACCACGTGTGGGCTGCGCCCGGCAGCTCGCCCACGAGACCCTCGGTGCCCTCCTTCACAGGAGGGACCCACCACGCCAGGCCCTACACACAGGGGTCTCTTGCGAGTAGCCTCCTTGCAGGGTCTCAGGCTAGAACGCAGATATAAAGAATGAAACCTCATTTCTTGCTGTTGTTATTAAGGATATTTGACCATCTTTGATGCTCGTGCACTGCAGAAAGCCTTTGTGGTGGCACTTTGCCAGCGGAAGCATCGATTTTATACGCAAGACCCATGAAGATAAAGACAATTAGATCACAGCTGGGCAAATAATTCATTATGAATTAATACCATTTGAAAGCTAGGGATATTTTCCATTTAATCATTAGTTGGGAAAAGAGATGATTGGATTGACTGACTTAGTTTAAATCAGATCCCTCGCCACAGCCAAGGCAACACAACTCGGGAAACACTGCGGCCTGCAGTAACCCCCAGCGAGACACCGGAGATGATGTTGGAGCTTTGTTATTACGACAACCAGCACTATCACACAGCTCCAAGCTCAAGCAAGACAAAGCCAGTCCCCAGGTCTCAACCCCTGTAAACAAAGTCCGTTTTCAAATTTAACAACTTGAGCCCATCCTCCGTCAGCTGAGAAGAGCTCCATGCATTATTAATGTTGTACTCGCATTACAGCAAAAAAAAAAAAAAAAAAAAAAAAAAAGGAAAGTCAGCAAGGGCCCAGCCTGAAGCTGTTAAACAGAAAGAATGTGATGCTGAATTTGAGCAGTTATCTTTCAAGGTAAGCCACGCAAAGAAGTTTTCTGGAAACAAAGCAGTCGCCCTGACGATCAGTTTAGTTGTCTGCCAAAGGGTGGGTGTTTTACAGAACCGCTGTCAGCGATAAAGGAGTCGGCATCTCAGTAAAAGTCACGGGATTCTGGCTTTTGTCCTCAGCATCTGACAGGAGCACCCCGGAAACACTGACAGCGCCACAGTATCCATCTTAAAAAAAAATCCCAGTCAGGCGCCTGGTCTGCATTTCAGTATTCCAATTTTTCTGCAATAGATGCGCCCCCCCTGCCCCTTTGCTCTGCCTCTTCCAGAGAGAAACATCCCCATTTCACTTCCCGAAGTGCTCCATAGCCCGCACGCTATTCCAAGGACCTGACCTTGAAAAACAATCTCAAAGACAGCATTCAATAGGAAAAAGAAAAACCTACCCAAGCAGGAAACCCCACGAGCTTCTCCCCGTTTTAGGAGGGACAGGATTTCCTAGAGCAAACCTCCCTCGGCCCCCCCATAACCCCCCTGCATCCCCACGGCACCATGCCCAGAGGCCTCACCAAGATGCAAGAGTGCATCTTCCCCCCCGCCCTGTCCTCCTCCGAGGAGCAACTACGGCCGCGGAAGAAGATACTACGCTGTGCACAAGCCGAGCAGGACCTCTCCCGGGCCCAGAGGACTCCCACCTCAGACACGGCCACGCACGGGTACCAGAGTTTCCTTCAGCCTCTGCAGCCCCGTTGCTGAGCATCTGCCGGAGATGGGGAGCAGCTGAGCCGCCCGTGGAGCCGGGAGTACAAATGATTCAGCACTTTCCCCACCTCCAGAAGCCTGAATCGATCGCAGCGAAGCTGCTCTGCAGGCACAGCCGGAGCATGCAGATTTAAAACCACGGCAGTCACTAACCGCTGCTCCCCGCCGAGGCCCGGCTCCGTCCAACGCCGCATCGCGACCCGGGTGTTGCCTCACGGACGGGGCTGGGGGGTGGATTTTGTCACCCCAGGATGGTTTAGAGGCAGAACGCGAATCCACCCCCAAACGCGAGAAGGAAGAAGCAGGGTGTAGCCTCCCCGCAGAGCAAACCTTCCTCCCCCAGGAGCTTTGGGAGCCTAAAACATGCCCTGTCACACTCAGATCTCTCCCTGGGCTGCCTTTCCCCCTTCCCGCACCCCGTCCTGTCCCCCCCC